CGAACATTTCTGCCTCTGTAGCATCCGTCTATATATCATCGCTCAGCCCAGGTGTAGGCAACTGCCAACTCACTGGTCGACAAATCGCTATTTGGGTTTCCTAGAAGCCGTCCGCCCTGCTTCACATCGATCAACAACAGCCGGCTACGCCGCATGACATACTTACCAAGAGTACTCACGTACCCGCGAAAATAAGGAGACTGATTCTGGACAAGCTCAAAACCGTCCGTACAGAATCCGAGGGCACGTTAGAACTTCGGGTTTGTCCAGCCGTCCAACGGCCCATGGTTTACGCCCCTTCACATGATGTCGAGACAGGCAGGAGGCTGACAACCCTGTGAGGATTATTGCGCTCTCAAGAACGCAGCGGTTCAAGCCTCGTTTCCGATCCCGCATACTGACGACACCACAGCGGCCTTCATGGCGCTCGCAAATCCTCAAATATCAACCAGTTGCGAGCTTATCGTTAGATCCCGGAGGCCGACGAGGCATACCGAAAACCGCCGTTGGTATACCACTTGGACCCCTGGACTGTTTGAGTTTCTGAGAATACCATTTGACCTACACTATACCGTGTAGACGTTCCAACGCTTCACTGACTCCGTCCTACGTGAACTCGACTTAGTCCGCCCGTACATTGAGGGTACTTTGAAGGCTAGTTCATCGGGAAGGGTAGGCCGAATGCACCTAGTACACATGTACGGAAACCTACAAGCGCAAGAAGTCCCCGTCAATACTCTTAAGAGTTTTTCATGCAGTCGCGAATTGCCTTCCTTGGACACGAACTTGCTTCGGAAAGTATCTACTCGTTGCAGGACATAGTTCAAGCCACCCGCGATTCTCTTCGTCCAGCGATTCTAGCCGCCATATGACGGTTCATAGACACCATCAACTTTTATCGCCAGCTGCCTTGCCGCGACTACCTTATACAACCGCTCATCGGTCTACTGCGCAGTAGCAACAACGGGAAAGTTTTCTTACGCCTAAAGCTCAACCAGCCTTCGAATCCAGCAAAGAAGCACAGATTCCGACGTCATGGTTCGTCACTTCGACCAGAATGCCCGACTAGGGTAGCTGTCAATACCCGGAGAGCGAAAATGGCGCTACCGTCAGCAGTTTTTACATGGTAACTGGCAATCACTAGGGTTCTCCTCTCGAAGTCATCAGAGACAAAACGAAATACAGCACATTTGACCGTGATTTACTCGCCGTCTAAGCCGCAGTGGCCATCTTCGTCACATACTGGAAGGAAATCGTTTTACGATCCATACAGACTCCAAAAACTCCAGACTTTATACAGACGCCGTTAAGACCCTCTACTCCGACTGCGACCTTTCACTTCGACACCGCGTAGAGCTCGTTATTTGTACTTTGTTTCTCAATTTCCGACGGACATACAACGCGTGTTTGTGAAGGGTAACGTCATGTCGGACACCATTACATGAGTAAACTCTCCGACTCCGACCGATCCATCGAGCTTTTGGCAGCTCCGACCGCCGTTCAGCAAACATCCTGCGCAAATCTCTCGCTAAAACTGGCACCGAAACCGCTCCCATTAACTGCAGACACAGTAATCTGCGAGGTCTCTACTTGCCGTCCAAGTCCACTTGCACTTACCGATTTTCGTGGGAAAGTCTTCGATGCGCTGCACATCACTCATCCTAACATTCGTGCTTGCGTCAGGATGTTTGCGGACCGGTACATCCGGCCCAAAAGCAGCTCGACGTCAAACGTTGGGCACGCAACTGCCTGACTTGCCAGCGAGCATACCTTTCTCAACATGTTGCTTTTCCGACTAAACGCTTCTGGTCTTATATAGGTAGACCTGGCTCATGCAGTCTTGATGTAACCTCCGAAACCACATAGAGGTTAAAATATACTGCAATCTATATTCCTGTTGCGTTGTGCGGCTGTGCGTCCTCTGAAAATTTTATACTGATGCCTCCTGGCCGCGAGCTAATTATAGACTGTATTGAAGTCTTGCATGTGTAACATTCTTTACTAGATTCCTAGCGTTTTCGCGAAACAGTTTGGCTTATTTGCCTATACTCGCTATGTATATCTGATGCGTTAGCTTTTTGCCCACTTACGTTGGGTATAGTTACTGCGGGGAATTTCAGTCTATATTCACGGGTTTCACGGGTTTGCGCAGAACTAGTAAGCGTAGCTTTTCGGTGGTTCTGCCTCGGGATCTTACGGCAAGATCCTGATATAGAGCATTTGCAGATAGGTGTGCTCGGCACTCTTTACCTACTCTTGCCTTTTCTGCTATCTACTTGCAAAGCAGGAAGCCCGTTTTAGCAAAATTAAATAATTTCATCATTAGTGGACCACCATTCAACCGCGAATAACTCGCAGACTACTGCAGTCTCGCATTGGTTTTACTTTAACGTAATCAGTGGTTAAAACTCGTTCTGTGTAGCTTAGTTTTGTGTCGCTTTTCCTCTTAGGAAAGGTTTCTATTTTGTTCTAATATTTACTCCGTTTAAATTTTGCCGCTAGTACTTAAAATTAATGCAAGACTTTTCTGGTTATGTTTGTTAATTATATTCTTCCATTTAGTTATGCCGCCTTATTATGCCTCTTATTTTAGTTGCATTTATAGAAATCATTTTCTGTATTCCTTGTTACTTATAATCGCTTTGCTTATTTCTTTCCATGTGCGTACCATTAAATATGACGACTAAACGTCCCGGAAAAGTCAATAGTAATTATACTGAAGGTCGTGGCGAATTGGGTCCTGCTGCTGCTTTGCGCAACTTTTCGCCGCTAATAACACCAAGGAGCACAAAGATCGCCCGAATCCGCCAGTTGCAAGCCAAGGTGGGCGCACACAACTCCTTCAGCTGTACACGTAGCAAAGCATATGCATACATAATTGCCAACAAGCAACATATACTCTCACTCTCCTTAATCCCATGCAAGTGTATGCGACCCGAGCAGTTCCATGCAAAAATCTAGCCAGTCAAGAATTATATCCATTTATTTATTAATTATTTACCGGTTCCTTATATGACATGGGTGTCGACAGGAAGCACGATGACCCGCTATTCTATATACCACTGTCTTGACAGTCTTTTTAACTCTATAACGTATTCTATAACGTATATATCTGATCATGCCTTCATGGGCGTGCCTCGCATAGTCGAGAATA